AAAATTAGGTAGACAAAAGGTCATGACTCTTTTAGTATATATTAACTATGATTTATAACATCATTTATAACATAGTAATATACTTTCTCACATTTTCCTATCCTCCACTAAATGATTGTCTGCCGGAAACTAAGTAGACAGCGATATCATATATATCTCTTAATCTATTTTTGTTCAACCTTATTTTTGAATAAGTTCTCTCTCTCAAAAAATGGGACAAAAATCCTCTTACTACCATACAAACCAGTTGAAAAACTTTTTAGCTTCTCTATCTCACCATCTAGTTTGAAATCATTTTATCTTCTCTCTCTCCCTCTCTCTTTCTCAAACACCCCTCCGAAACCGGATAAACCACATAAACATAAAAATTTTTATTAATATTTTTTATACAAAAATTATTCATATGCAACGCAGGTGGTGCATTACTAATATTTGAAAATATAAGGACTGTTGTCTTAAAAATCAGTTGGAAATTCACTTCCATTAAGGGGAAGTTTAGATCCTTTATGTTTTCTTTTTCAAAATGAAAATGTACCAAGTCCAAAAACACCCATGCTCCCCCCCCCCCCCTCTTCCCCTCCCCATTTTTTTCAAAAAAAATGCTACTCAAATTCTTATTTGTTGATTTTGTGCAATGATAATCAATTCATTACAACTTGTTAGAAGATAGGAAATATAAGAAAATAAAATACAAAAATATAACGTAGTTCAATACACCTTACCTAAATCTCTATTTTTTTCAAGCGGGTTTCTATAACCCTATTCACAATATATTAAGATTCTTTCAATTCTTTTCCTATTTAATTTGGGGTCCTCACATGTGATTATCCGAGACACTATCTCAAATAAAAAGAAAAAGTTTCCACAAAGTGTGAATTTCAGGAAGATTAGCCCACTAGGGTATATCTTTTTTCTTTACTTGTTTAAAAGAATTTGGGCTCAATTTTTAGATTGCACAACCTAGATGGGTTTAGGTTCCACCTCGAAAATTCTATACCTAATTCCAGCACTTCTCAAATTTACATTCGCTTGAAATTTTTCATCTAAACCCAATTTAAGTAATTATCTAATACTAGATATCTTTGTGTTAAGTTCAAATTGATCGGCCCAAATTTCATCCTAAATCCTTGAAAAATCTCTCATAAACCAACCACCACCCAAAAATAGGACTTCATTTCCCATCTCTATTCGGCGGGAGAAGCTTCCACTGAGTGTGAATCCACAATGCAGAGGATGATTAAAGTGTATTAGGTGTATCTTCTTTTCTTCACCTGAAATAGAACCCTTGGGTCATCAATGTCACTCATTCACACCTCTTTTTGTTCCTCTTTAGGTATTCAAGAAGAATTTGAGGGAAAGGAATCCTGAAAGGCACGACAAACAAATATTTTCAAATGCAACAAATAAATATAATATAAATACATATATATGGATTGAAAGAATTGGATTCTAGGTGGGCCTACCCTATGATTTTTTCCAAGGTTTAGGTCTTCCTTTTTGGCTCTCTTGTGAACTTGTCATTATCTTTTAGAGCAAGTTGAGAAGAAAGAACAAGAATAAAGAGAGATAAAGGATGGTGGCCACGGGATTCACTCTCTTTGAAAGATTTGATATGATTGGTATCTATAAGCATGCCATGGTAAAGTTATAAGTGGGCTGGTAAATTAGCTTGGTTTTGTTCAGACTCTGTATTCAATTCAAAATTCAGATAGACGCTAGTACGATCATTCTTTATTTTATAATTTAGAAATACATACGTTTAACGGTAAAAATACTGTATTGAAAGACTCGTGACTATAATAAAAGTTTGAAAAAAATAATTGGTGTTTAGATTTATCTCAAATTTCAAATCATTGATTCTTGAAATCAACTCACTAAAGTGGACAAGCACTATTCTTAATGATAACTGGTAATGTAATTATTCTTATTTCCATTGAAAAAAAGGGCATACATAACAACTTCAAAGCCTCCCCTTACTATTTTTTACTATTACTTCTAATGATGCACCTTCCCCTTTTTGTTCTTTTAAGGATAATAATAATTACTATGAAAAGTAACTAGGAATTAGAATGGTAACTTTTGTAGGACATCTCTTTAACTACTTGGATAAACCACAACTATCTCTTTCTCTCTCTTTCTCTTTCTTTTTCTTTTTCTTTTTCTTTTAAAGGGTAGGAAATAGTAACTGAGCAGAACATTTGATCCTCCTCATTTCTGAGGTAAGCATGGCTTTATCAGTCTATCCAACATATAATCAATGAACGTTTTTTTTACTAATGAACGTTTTGGGTTCGATCTTCATTAGTGATTTTCAAATTTAACTCGTACTTAAGGTTAACAAGTTATTACAAATAGCTAAAATTTATTTTGTAAGTGCGAGTCCAATATGATTCTATCTTGGAGAGTTCCCTCGTTACCCGAAAAGAAATTTTTTTTTTTTTTTGGTTGTTGAACAGCTATAAACCATGTTCTAGAAGGATTGAATTCAATCTAATCACTAACCTTAGCAGATAAGGAATTGACGGATTTCCTGTTGTTTACACGGGAAAAGATAAGAATGCTGGCACAGAAAGTCTTTGCAAATTGATGGCGAAAACGATACCACTGCCCTCTCCTGCAATAATTGCATCAGCTGCTTCCTACTAACGTTCATGAACAGCAAGTTCAGTGTATGACTATTAAAACCCAACAAAGTAAAATCATTAGAAATCTTGCTGACTTAGATTTTATTTTTTTGTAACATTATTGAGTCATTTGATTTCAATTTTCATCACCCATCACCGACAGAATCGGAGGGTTTTTTCTTTTTATTTTTGGCGTAACGGTAAGAATTGAAGTTTGTAACGTTGTCCATGGATGACGACATGACTTTATTGGAATTTTCCCAATAGAGGTTCAAATTCATGTCAGCTTGATTCCTTTCGGATTTTTCTCAATTCTGATTTAATGAAAATTTTAAATTTAAATTTTATTTAGGTGAGTCCTCCAATAGGAGTAAATCAAATGAATCAAGTAAACGAGTTTGAATAGTAATTTACTTAAGTTTGGCTAAAAAAAGTTTAAAAAGATTTAAGTAAAATTTAAACTTGACTCGTTTATCTTACAAGTCAAGCTGGGACAAGTTTTGGTGAGTTGCCCTCAAGTTTGTTTCAAGCAACTCGACTTTTTATTTATTCTTTAGATGATATTTAATTTATCAAGTAATGTTCGAGTTAACCTTAAAAATACACTCAAATTGAACCATTTTTCACATGAACATATTTCAAATGAGTTTTTAGCGAATCGATGCATTCAAAAAGAATTTGGATTTATAACCAAGCTTTAATCCCAATGAAGCATCATAATCAACGTCTTTGTATTAGTTAATTAACACCAGCTACATTTTTGTTGATAAAACAGGATGGTCTTCATTAAAACATCAATTTACGATCGATTGATTAATCAGATACAACTCTTCCAACATCGTCCAATATCAATTCTTTAACGCCAATTATTTAGTGAAAACATCGTGAGGTTGATTTGCAATAATAACATGAAAGACGGATGACATCAAACATTGAATAAAATTCTCTCTAATATTATTTATGTCCATTTATTTTCCTAACACATCATGTATCATGGACGGGTATTTAAGTTGTCACCAGGGAGACCAAACTTATGCAAATTAACATCCTTCTCACAGAGCCACGATTTACCCTCTCCTACCAAACAATTTAGACACAAAGGCAATTAGGTGAACAACATTACAAAGCTTTCACGTTACGTTTAGGTGAACCAAATTGCAGTTTCTTTAGGGAAGGGAAGGGACCACTTCTATGATTTAAATTCACTCTAATATTCTTTAAATTTTCGAAGATTAGAAAGAAGACAATAAAAACCATGGTATAGCAATTAATTTCTCACTAATATACACTTGGTGAACGGAAAATCATATATAAATAGATCTCACTAGCTCAAAAACATGTATTTTTAAGAAATTAAATAAAACAAATAGAAAAAAAATGTACTTGATATGAACTATATCACCATTGTCAATAACTCGTGTCATTTTAAGAATTAATTAAAATAAATAGAGAAAAAAAAATGTACTTCGTATGAACTAAATCACCATTGTCGATAATTCTTTCTCAATAACACGATAAAACCATTATTAAGAATCTAAAAAATATTATTTACACATAATTTTAAAAACTAATTTACTTATCTGAATCAAAATTATAATTGTTATAACAACTATAATCCACCCAACAATAAAATTCGAAACTAATCTAATAATTATAATAAATTGTCTCTCCATATTACACCTATATCTTCTTTTTTTTTTTTGGCTATAAAATATTCAAACTTGTGTTAATAACTCTCGTAAACTCCAAGACAAAGTATTACTCGAACTAATTTAAGAGCATGTCTATGAAGAATAAAAATGTCTAGTCCTTAAGGACTTTGTTTAGATGAATTTTAGAAAAAAAATTGGCTTGATTTCTCCAAACCCAAACTCCTCTTTACAAAAGTAGAACTCCACATTCAATCCGGTCGATAATCATGTTTGGTATTATAATATATACACATATAAGACCACAGATATATCATAATTATTAACAACTATTTATCTTTTAAATAACTATTTTTACCCTTTGATCAATCTAATTCATACTCATGTTAAGAAAAATAATTATCTTTTATATCCTAAACCCCTTTACCTATCTTCTCAAACTACCCTCCCCTAAATTTTGTGAAATTCATGATCATAAATTTATTTTTTGGGATAACTACTGGATTTAAAAATTCAAAATTAAACTTCAATCCAACCATAAAATTTAAAAATCTTTTGGACTATTTTCCCTACGCTCATCTTGCCAAACTCCCATACCCTCATACCAAAAAACCCCTAAAGGTTAGACCCATATCTCGTTGCTTTCTTCTCAAGTACCCACTCCAAATTTTAATCTACTCATTAACACTATTTACAGATACTAGCTCGAGTCCAACAGAGAAAGCAAGGAGCCATTAATATGTAATTGCAAAACATAACAACTACCAACAAATAGCATTACAATAATAAAGTAGTCATCATCCAGTGGTCTAGCCAACCAAAAACCAGCTGACCATGGTAGACATAACATACATTCATAACATACGCTGCACAAATCACCTAACCTAATAATCCATTCGGACTCGACCATTAATACTATAAAACACAAGGACTAATCTGCAATCTCCAAAAATTCAATTGCAGACGATTATGCCCTTTAAGACTAACTCAAAGACACCCATTACAAATAGTACCTAAATTGCTATACGTTCAAAATACAAAATTACATAAATGACACTGCAGACCCAATTATATTGAAGCCCAATCAATCTCATTAGATGGGTACTTCTGTAAGAAATTCTCCGACCATACCATGTCCCATGTGCACTCCTCCAAAATATCCGGGAAAGTAAGATCCGAAACGGGTGAACCGCTTGATCCGCTCGACCCGTCACTGTCGGATCCTATCTCCACCACTACCACCTTTTCCTCCTCCTCCGCCGCCGTCGCCGCCGATTGCTCCGAAACCGACACTTTCTTCCGCTTAACAGCCGCCCCTTTTGACTTCTTGGAGGAGTCTATACTCTTCCCTTGAGCCAAGCTTTGACAAATGGCTTGTAGCTTAGCATCAACTGTGGAATGAAGAGGCTTGTACTCTCCGAAGTCGCCGCCGATGTGGGACCCACTGTGGCGGAGGTGGGGGAAGTTGAGCCTTGCAAAGTCGCCTCTAAGCTTGTAAGCGGCCTTGTCGTAGGCCAAAGCTGCCTCTTCGGCTGTGTCGAAGGTGCCGAGCCAGAGTCGGGTCCGGTTCTTGGGTAGACGGATCTCAGCTACCCATTTCCCCCAGTGACGTTGCCTCACCCCTCTGTAGAGCTTGGTGGGCTTCGTGGGTGAGCCCGCCTGCTTCATTGGGATAGGCTTTGGGCTAAGGAAGTTCAGGGTCTGCTGGTTCTGAGGCCATTGGGCTGGCATCATCTGTTGCTGCTGTTGAAAGTTGAGTTGGGCTTGGATCTGGTGGATCTGGTCTGGGGTTAGGTGGTTGAGCCCAATAGAACCCGGTTGCTCAAGACCAAATGGGTCATGACCCGAAAACCCTTGGGAAAAGAACTTGGTTGTCGAGGTGGAGCAGCCATCTGGGTACATGTGGGTCTGTGATGCAGAAATTGAAGGTGAGAAATTGCAGGAACTGTAGGGGTAAGAAGAGGAGGTAGAAGAAAAAGGGGTTGAAGAATAGGAAGAAGAAAAGTTGAGATCTTGGTGGGGGGTATTTTGTGTCACTAAAGAAGAATTTGAGGGTGAAGAAGAAGAAGATGGTGTTGGGAAAGCACTTTTGATAAAAGGCTCAAGTGCTTCCATGAGCTCACCACCCCTAAAGGGGTCTGAGTAAAGTTCCAGAGCTGTGCTACTCCACAAATCCATTGTAGCTGCCATTCCTTGAACTAATTTTAACAAAACAAACTAAATCCTGAAAATCAAAAGCTAATTAAAGACAGAAAAATCAACCTGTTTCTTACCAAAATCAAGAAAGTTGATTTTTTTCCAAGAAAAACCCAGAAAAAAATATTAACTACAGATGAACGAAAAAACGAAGGATCCAAGGAGATTTTCAAATAAACAAACCCCTTTTTTCCCTATGGCTTGAAAAACCAACCTTGAGGGACAGCAAATAAGCCCTCCTAGGCGTTTGGATGAAAGAGAAAATTATGAACAGAAAAATAATGAAGGGAAAAGAAAAGTCCCTAATAAAATTTGACCAAAAACACAAAGATCTCGTTTCTGAAAACACCTGGCTTTCCAAATCCTTCTCTAAGTTTGCCTTTTAATCCAGATTAAACAAACCCAAAAACCAGAAAACTTTTGAAAGACAGATGATTAACAGAAAGGGATCGAAGAAGCGGGATGTTACAGAGGGGGGAAGAAGAAGAAAGAAGAGAGAGAAAATCAGCACTCCAAAGAATCTTGATTGTGATTGTGTTTGTGTTTGTGTGTGTGTGTAAAACTCTAGGCCTCACTCTGTGGCCTTAGCTCATCAACTGCCCCATTTTATAAGAGCCTAGCCCAGTGGTTTACCCTCCCAACCACCTCGATAATCCCTATTACCTCTCTCTAACCACACTTGATTAATTTTTTCAATTGTTGTAGTATCGGTTCACCGGGTTTACCCAGTTCAGCTTTATCTGTTGATGACCTAAGATTCCATCAGATGATGGTGTTCTGCCAATTGGAGACCCACACGTGCATTGGTAACCGACACCTGTCCATCTTAAGCCAGGCCGCTGTCGGTAAGCTTTTAGTGGCCATGGCATCATTCGTTTACAAGTTTCTTACCAATCTATTCACACCAGCCATTTTTGGGTTAAATTACACCTATGTACCCCACAAGTTTCTCCTTAAATCACACGAACGCTTGCAAGTTTGAACTATAATACTGACACCCCTAACACAAAGATCTTGAAAACTATAGTGATGGAAGTGCTAAAAAGGCAAAAATGTTCTTTAGTTGAAAAGCACAAACCCGAGGAGGACTGACTCAAATTTCCTCCTGATTATTGCAGTCCACAAAGAAAAATGGGGGAGTAAGAAGCGTAAATCTCATGAAATGTATATTACATTGATGATAATTTGATTTTATTAATTATGTGAGTTATAATAATAAATTTAAGTAATAACACATTTGATTCTCTTAATGGTATTAAAATATTTTCATGATAAATAATATTAAAAATCAACCACTCATTGCTTGCCCCTGCAAAATTTGCCCCACTCGTAACCTTCATACCAAATGACCCCAGCATTCCTCCTCCATCCTCTTGCCCTACCCTCCTCCTGAAATAATAGAAGGGTGCAATGTATTTTAATCATCAACACCGGGGCGAAATTATATTTTCTTATATATTGAGTAGACAAATGTCAATAACCATGTGAAGTCACTTAACTATTGCACCCTCTTCCTCAATATTCTACCTAAGCAACCACTTAAGTGGCTTATACTTTTTGTATCTTGGATAATATAATGTGAAGACTACAAAAAAACACAATATATTATAAAAAAAAAAAAAAATTATAATGAAGTAAATTAAGTTGGTCACATGATAAGATTCTTCACCAAGTGCCGGCAGTTGAACGGTTACAATGGTATTGAAAATGTCCGACCTCCTGTGGTCTTTAGCTCTGACCTTTTGCCAGTGGAATGAAGTGGGCGGATAGGATATAATATCCGTAGCACTGTGCCATGACCATAATTACATTAATTGGTATTTATAATTACGGGATTTTTTTTTTTTTTTTTATATTACGATCAAAGATATTCAAATTAATTTACCCACACTTTGATTAATGTCATGGTCATGCACGCACTTGAGAGGGGTTTTGAAATGCAAAATGGTCACAAAAAATGTGATATTTTATTAATGGGTGATAAAGACCGGACCCCAATAGAAGAGTCTAGATGACAAAGATCACTGTGGCTATCTATTACTTGGGTATTGTTATTACCAAATAGTTCCCCAAGACTGGCAATCTAAAATTGTTAATTTTGGGTGCGAGTTCCTCTTTTAGGTATTAATCAAGTCAGAGTGTTTTGAGTTTTTAATATAGTCGTTGAATTTAAATTCTCATTAAAATTCGAGTGGAATTTAAAATGTATGTTCAAATTTAAATATAGTCGGCTTTCTTTTTATATTATGAGCACAAATTCAAACTCTCTTCACTAAATCCAAAAACACAAATGCAATTAAACTAAAACTCATTTTAAAGTCAAATATCTTATTAATTAAGCTCTAGTTACTATTTATTGTTTGTTAATTATGAAAACACATTTTATGATACACATAACTCAAACTCCAGCTTATTGAGCCAAGTGATAATAAAAATCAAAATGAACTCAAAAAGACTTTATTCGCTTTTTACCCGTAATAGATCCAATTGCAAAAACATGTAATTACCGAATTGTTTAAAAATCTTTCTCACTCATACAATGTTAAAAGATTGGAATTTTTGAATTATATTGGGAAGGAATAGTCTCCTCTAGTTTAGTTCATGTGACAAATTAAATATATTTAGATCTCAAATTCTACGAACCACCAGATATAAAACAAGATCTTTTTTTTGTCGTATGATATATTGACCCGACAAACTAATTTTTAATTGTAAATCATTTATTTTACTCTCATGTGAAGTGATGTTAATTACATGAAAATATTATTAAAATTTGTGATTTATTTATCATTTAAAAAAATTGAGATGCTCCGAATTTTTCCAAAATTAATACTTGAATTAATTTGGAAAATAATTTGATTAAATAAAGAATCGGGTTGATAAAAAAAATATTCGAATAAAAGCGGAGAATATCATTACCTAACCATAGTTGATGTCGTCAAACCGTAGTTTGATTTCGGCGGAGGGTACGGCGAGGAATAGGAAGGACAAGCGTGAAAACATATGGAGTCGCACGTGGACACTTGCGCGTGTTAACGGATGTGGTAGCTCGTGGTATGTTGCGCGTTTGGACAAGATCTTTAGTTTGCGGCGCCAGTAGCTCCATGGACTTCAACGAAGCCGACGCCCGTCAAGCACGCTTCGGCTAATACAACCTCTTCCCCACGTGGCAATCAATCTATGGAAGCAAGTGGCAAATTTGGATCTTCCCACGAAGGTGCCTTTAGAATATTTTATTTACTCAATTTATTAACTTTATTCACTGACTTAATATATTATAAATATAGTTATACCCCGTGTCTGAAGACATGATAAAATATAAAATTCGAACATCTATAAAATCGATTCTATTATATTAATTTTTTTAAAAATATATTAACTACAAATTAATCAAATATTAAATTATTAAATATATGATAAAAATGAATGATGTGATATTTTTAAGAAAAAAATATATAAATGAATAAACATATAATAGAAATAAGTGATGTGATTTGACGTTTGAGTCTGACAAAAGAATGATAGATGAGGTAAGTGATTGATGATAGTTTTGAAAAAAAAAATATGACTGAGACAAAATTCAAACACACTCCTATTTTATTATATAGATTGAATTAGTCAAATCGTCTGTCACTTTATTTTTAATATACTTATGAATAGAGTAATTATGATCTACACCCTCTTTAGATAGATATATCTTTAATCAAATTATTTTATTATTCAAAAATCATTAAAACTTTTTTAGTTGATATTTAAATATTACTTATACCCCCTATCGTTAAATCACTGTTTTTAACAAAAGAAATTCATCTAAAATATTAAAATTGTCTCTACATAGACCTCAATTAACCTTTCTATATAAAATTTGATTAAAATTTATTTTTTTACATATTAAAATTCGATTGTATTAAATTTTAATTTTTTTTACATATAAAAATTCAAGCCTATTTATATATTAAAATTTGAGTCTATTAAAGCTCAATCTGATCTGCTAGCACTAATTAAAATTCGATTTGAGTCAATTAAAATTTATATTTTTTTACTTATTCAAATTTATGTCAATTAAAATTCGATTCAAATTGATTAAAATTCGTTTTTTACATATTGAAATTTGAGTGGACTAAAATTTATATTTTTTATGTATCAAAATTTGGGTCATTTAAACTTCAATGCGAGTTGGTTAAAATTGGATTCAAACTTATTAAAACTAAAAATTTAATAGGCTTAAATTTTAATATATAAAAAAATATAATTTTTAATTGATTCAAATTTTAATACATAAAAAAATGAACTTTAATTAGCTCAAATCGAATTTTAATCGGTTTAAATTTTAATACTTAAAAAAATTCAAAAAATAAAGGAGATCTTATTGAATATATTTCTATGTAGAGAAGATCTCATTGAAGATATGTCTATCTAAAAAATGTGTGGATGAAATTTTTCTTAAAATATATCATGAACATTTTAATAAAATTAAATTCTAGTTAGCGCTATTAATCTAATATGAGGCATCATTGAAATTCAAAAAATATAAGAGGTATTCTTGAAGATATAATAAACTATAAGAAATATGGTTAAATTTTCCCTTATGAATATATGCTATAATAGCACCCAAGGGAACAAAATTCTGTTCATGGTCTCTAATAAAATTCATGACAGCGATAGAGTTTCCTTCCAGGAAAATTTCATCCAAACCATATAGAAGACCAAAATGGACAACTTCCCTTGCCGTCAGTGTTTCTGCCGTTTGAGCCTCCCAATTAGCTGAAATTCTTTTGAAAATTGTCCATCTTCAAACAAGTTTATATTTATATATAATATTAGCAATATACTATGTACGTTACACTTAAAAAATTTGTCAAATTATTTGGTAAAATACATAAAATTTTAAGTGTAAATAACACTTTTGATCCATAAAAATATATATTTTTTGTCAGTTTAGTCATCATTGTATAAATTTTATTAATTTAATTCCTAAACTATTCAATTCATGCCATTTTAACTCTTATGTTGACGAACTGTTAAATTTTTTACGAAATGATTAAAAATAAATAAAACAATCCTGAATAACACAACCCACACTTTTTTTTGACACAATTAAAGAAAATTTTATTAGGATATAACTTGGGGCTTAATTTGGAGATCCAATCAATTGTAGTAGTTAAAGTGAAAGTGAAAGTGAATTTCACATAAATGTTAAATTTACTACTATTTTAGTAACAATAATGGAATAAAGTCCATGATAAATTTTTCAAATTAATTACAGTAAAAAAGTGAAATTATGATGGGTGCAGTGCAGTGCACAACAACAAAAGGAAGAAACCCGGGCAGGGGAAAGTGGGACTCAAATCCCCTCTAATATACTATTCTTTCAATTTGTTTTTTTGACAGATGATTTAATCGGTGAGTAAGGGATTCACGTATATGTAATAAATTTTACTTAAATCAGTACATAATAAGTAATTTAGTATTAAAAAGAGAATTTAAAAATAATGTATTGAAGGAGCTCTAGAAAAAGTGTCGGCCAAATTGTAGTGAAACCCCCCTTACGCAAAGGTTGTCAAGTTAACTGTTGACTTTTGAGTGTTAGAAAAAATGTTTATTT